TCTCTTCACCAGCTAGTATGTGGTTTCATATCCCTAAGGCTATTTTTGACAAATTCGGGGGTCTAGATTTTTTGTTGAGATGTGATTTTGAGTTAAATAAAATCCCATTTGCTCTATCAAAATTCCACAGCCAGTTATTACATTATTGGAAAATGGTCTTCAAGCACAATTTCACCCCTCATGGATCTGTTCTGTGGAATAACAGATCTATTCTTATTAGTAGAAAATCAATTTTTAAGTCAGAGTGGTTTAATAAAGGGGTCATGTTTGTAACTGATGTCTTAGACAGTAATGGAGAGCTATTGGAGCACAACATTTTTGTCAACCGGTTTAATTTATATTGTACACATCGAGATTATCAGAAAGTCTGCAAAGCCATCCCTGCAGCCTTGATTCATCTGATCCGTAATGTTCAAGTTCACTCCACTGTCACTCCAACATTGCCGAGTTTGCTGTTAAACAATCTAAATTTGGTCGATAAGAAATGTCATAACAAAGTTGTAACTGATGCTTTCAAATCTTGTCTTTATCATGGATACAATAGGGTAGTTTTTATCAATGAAGTTTCTGTTTTACTGAATGAGGCCTTCTCCAAGTACATTAAATGGCCAATTCCACCAAAAGTCAAAGAAACTCACTTTAAGATTTGCCACAAAATTTATCCAGTGTCCAATTTTCTTTATAAACGGTTTAAGTATGAAAACTCAGGCTGTACTTTTTGTGATTGTCCTGAGGAAACCTTGGAGCATTTGTTTTTCACCTGTTCAGTCTCTCGTACATTTTGGAGTGACATCAGAGAGTGGCTTTCCTTAAAGATTTTGGATCTTCCTGATTTTGAATTGTGTCACATATTTTATTTTGTCAAAGATTTAGATAGGAAAGTCTCAGATGTTGTAAATATTGTTTTTCTATTAGCCAAATACCATATTCATTGTAGCAAATGGAGAAAGTCAAGCCCCTGCTTCAATCATTTTTTGAATGATTTCAGAATCTACTATTCCTCGTTAAAATTGCTTAAATCTGCCATTGCAATAGAAATTTGTGCCTCTATGTCTAAATTCCTTATGTTGTAGAAATGTCTGTATCCTATTCTTATGTGTCTGATTAACCTGATTTGCCTCAATTGTACAATCCCCAAGTTAATGCATACATTGTTTTATTTTCCTATGTCATGTCACCTCTGCAAGAGTTTGATTCAATAAAAAAAAAAAAAAAAAGGTAAAAAAAAAAAGGTAAAAAAAAAAAAGTTCTTGGGACTTCACAGAGACCGGGAGATCAGCAGAACTCGCCCATATTTGGGCATCGTCTGGTCCTCCCGGTTCTGTGCAGTGGACGAGCTCCCATGATGCTTTGCGCCAAATACGCGTGTGTGGGTCTCATGCACCTGCACAGAGGGGCTCGGCCGCGCTCTGACCAATCAGAGGGCAGTGTTCCGACCAATCAGAGCTGATCAGAGCAGCAGCAGGGCGGAGTCAGAGCGGGAAAGAAAGGAGCAGAGTTTGTGGCAGTAAAGTGTGGATTTAAAGAAAACAGAAGGATTTAAGAAGAAAAAAAGTTCAGGACGACAAGAGACACTAACATCCACACTAAATCTGACCTTTATGAAAGCTGTAGGTTCTCAGTCAGGTTCTCTGTCAGGTTCTCTGTGAGCTGAAGTCGAGCTGTTTTAATTTACATTAAGTTCTATGGGACTTTTTTCTGGGTAGCCCTGTGAATTTAGTCTGTAGTACCACAGCGCCCCCTGTGGCCATGGGTGGGACAGCTATATGCTAGTAATACCCTAACCAGTTATTATAGATCCATGGTGTTGGTACGCCGCGTAGCAAGTAGCTGATGGCTCTGGAGGCGCTTTCAACACGCTGGGGGGAGCTTCAGTGTAGACCGGGTGTGGGTGGTCCCCGGTGGTTCTCTGAAGCTGGGAGTTATTCCCTCCCCAGTGAGAACTCTAGAGAACGTGTCCTACCTGAAGTTGGAACTGCCTGAGTGAACTGGGGGCACGGCACAGCACAACCACCGCCGTCTTTTACCGCTGTCTTCCTGTTGTCTACATAAGTAGTAGTAAGTAAGTAAGCTTTATTTATATACCGCCTTTTCACTGAACATCGGAGTCTCAAAGCGGTTTACAATTGCTATTTTTGGGAGTGGGGGTGCCAGTACAGGAGGCACATGTCAGACCTATTGTACATATTTTTTGTGATAGGGGAAACCGGAGCACCCGGAGGAAACCTACGCAGACACGGGGAGAACATGCAAACTCCACTCAGAAAGGCCCTGGTCCAACCGGGATTCGAACCCAGGACCTTCTTGCTGAGAGGCGAAAATATAGTGCTATCCACTCAGCCACCGTGCCACCCGTAAGAATGAAGTGTCGAATCCTGTATTGTAACTGATCTGAATAACAAGTGCAAACTACTAAAAGTACAAAATAAGCTCCACTTGATCAATAAAATGTTCTTAAATGGAAACCTTTTGTCCTCACTCAGTCCCCTTATCTGTGTCCTTATAGTTTGTTTTAAATTAAAATAATAAAAACAAACACATTCATACGTACCCTCCGTTTTCACACATGGCAACCTCTCCTCGTTCAACACTGGTTTCTCTCACGCGAGATTCAACGGAAAAAAAAGCGCATTTCACATTCACAAAGTCTCAGCAGCGCCACCCCCCAGGGCAGCTGTGTTTAGTGACATCAAAACAATCTCCATTGAGATTAGAATGAGTCTGGTGTGTGTGTGAATGGTTGTTGGTGGTGGGAGGGGCTGATGGCACAGAATGCCCCAGGGCAGCTGTGTTTAGAGATGATAAGCTTCTTTGAGAGTCTATAAAATGAGCTGTATAAGATAAGATCAGAGATAATATAAACCTTTATTCGTCTCACAGTGGGGACATTTCAATTTCAACAGATGCATTAAGAACTGTGCTGTACAAATAAACTTGCCTTGGCTACTGTAAGAAGATGGAACAATGCTTGTTGTTTGGCGCCGCCTGCTGTTCAGGTGAAGAAGAAACCCGAAAGAAGGATAGACAGGGAAAGAGAAAGACATTAAGAAAACCATACTATTGAACTTTGAGGAACAGACTTAGCTGATAAAAACTAAAAATATATGAAATGTTTGAATAAGATGCTTCATTGTGGGAGCAGGTTAAAACAGCTGACGACTGCACGTGTCATGTGACAAGCTCATGTATTGCCACATTAAACATTTCCATAAATACAGAACTTCATTCAAGTCATATTCCGCTAGACCTTTCAAAATAAATTCAACTTAACAAGAAATACATTATTTGTCCAGTAGCTGCCTACGCTATCCCCAAAACGCCATATTGTATTAGTTTGATATTAATATTGTTCTATACATGAATGGATTTATGCTGTAAAAGTTTTACCGTTAGACTTGTTAACTTCCTTCGGCTTTTATTTTGAAGGGCTACAGCGGGTGTGTCTCTGCACTAGCGTTAGCCTCACATGTTTTTGGGTTGTTGATGGTTCGCAGTCACCATGGTTAACCAGTGACATTTCCATAGAACTTCAGGGTGGATTTCTGAATAGTTTTCATGGTTTTAGCTGATACTTGCTGCGTTTTGTCTCAACCCATCGCCCCGGGTTGAATGCGTTGGATTTGGCTAATGTTTTTAGCCTGTTAGCTTCGTGTTAGCAGCTGTCTGAACATCCTTGTATTATCATTCAAAGCAAGGTAAGGTTTATGCTGATGTTGTCTTTTATCAGCCAGTGTACGATTCTACTCAGTTTATATTCAGCTGATGTGTGTACAGCCCTGAATCAGCAGTAGTCTCGGAGGTCTGTACAAAGTTGTTGATTCACCAACAACAGATCAGAGAATCAAACTATTAGAATTTGAGCCATTGGTCCAAAGGGAGCGGGATGACCACTGTCCATGAATGTTCCCAGGGAGACCTCTGGAAACACCAGTCCTGGGTCTACAGCCTGAGTCCCGGGTCTACAGCCTGAGTCCCGGGTCTACAGCCTCAGTCCTGGGTCTACAGCCTGAGTCCTGGGTCTACAGCCTGAGTCCTGGATCTACAGCCTGAGTCCCGGGTCTACAGCCTGAGTCCTGGGTCTACAGCCTGAGTCCCGGGTCTACAGCCTGAGTCCTGGGTCTACAGCCTGAGTCCTGGGTCTAAAACCTGAGTCCCGGGTCTACAGCCTGAGTCCCGGGTCTACAGCCTGAGTCCTGGATCTACAGCCTGAGTCCCGGGTCTACAGCCTGAGTCCCGGGTCTACAGCCTGAGTCCTGGATCTACAGCCTGAGTCCTGGGTCTACAGCCTGAGTCCTGGGTCTACAGCCTGAGTCCTGGGTCTACAGCCTGAGTCCCGGGTCTACAGCCTCAGTCCTGGGTCTACAGCCTGAGTCCCGGGTCTACAGCCTGAGTCCTGGATCTACAGCCTGAGTCCTGGGTCTACAGCCTGAGTCCTGGGTCTACAGCCTGAGTCCTGGGTCTACAGCCTGAGTCCCGGGTCTACAGCCTCAGTCCTGGGTCTACAGCCTAGAGTCCCGGGTCTACAGCCTGAGTCCCGGGTCTACAGCCTGAGTCCTGGGTCTACAGCCTGAGTCCTGGGTCTACAGCCTGAGTCCTGGGTCTACAGCCTGAGTCCTGGGTCTACAGCCTGAGTCCTGGGTCTACAGCCGGAGTCCTGGGTCTACAGCCGGAGTCCTGGGTCTACAGCCGGAGTCCTGGGTCTACAGCCGGAGTCCTGGGTCTACAGCCGGAGTCCTGGGTCTACAGCCGGAGTCCTGGGTCTACAGCCGGAGTCCTGGGTCTACAGCCTGAGTCCAGTTTATGGCTGTAAACCAACTTTTTAAAACATTATTCTTTGTTGGAAATAAGAGCAGTGGGAAATGAATTCAGACAAAAAAGAAAGTCTAAAATTAATTTAAAAAGATATTTTGTAATCTGTTGGAGTAGAGACACCCAACCACAGGTCTTCTGGGTGTAATGTATATAATTGTTTGTGTGCAGGGTCTCCAGGGAGCGCTGCCATGGCTGGAGGAATCACGGAGACTGGAGAGCCCTACTCTGCCTTTGTGAGCATGGTTATGTACAGTTTCATGACACTGTCCTCTGTGGCTGGATGCTATTGCTTATTCATGTCGCTTTTGTTCGACTGATTGACTTGTTCCTCTGCACTATTTCTTTCTTTTGCTTTAAATATTAAAATAATGAGTTTTTATCACACCATTGAAATGAATGATGACAAAATAATAGCAGTAAATAAAGCACAAAAGAGGTCTTACATTACATTAATAATTCATTTCAAACACTGTGGTGGTTAACTACTGCTGTACGGTGGCTGAGTGGATAGCACTCTCGCCTCTCAGCAAGAAGGTCCTGGGTTCGAATCCCGGTCGGACCAGGGCCTTTCTGAGTGGAGTTTGCATGTTCTCCCCGTGTCTGCGTAGGTTTCCTCCGGGTGCTCTGGTTTCCCCTACCACTAAAAATATGTCCAATAGTTCTGGCATGCGCCTCCTGTACTCCCATCTCTGTGTGGAGTGAGAGACAAGTGCCCAAAAATTAACAATTGTAAACCGCTTTGAGACTCAGATCTGCAGTGAAAAGGCATAAATAAAAACGTAACGTACATCTGACTTGGGGCAGACTGACAGAATCCGTGTCATTGGCCTCTCCAACCACCACTTATCAATCATTCACTCACACTCTAGAGTGAATGATTTACATGTCCATCTCCAAAAAGACAAGCAGTAAAATTATTTAATGATTTAACAAGTCAGATTTTGGAATTTGCATTATTTTGAATGTGTTTAGTTCCCTTCTCCTAAAAGACCCGTGTTAAGTTTACACTCAGACGCAGTGACTTACTGGTTTCTTGGTCCTTTTTCAAATAATAGCATTGATGAGTGTTTTTCTTCCTCTCATGAAGCTGAAGATTTTTATTGAGGGTTAGTTTTAGGCCCTTTCATCGCTCCTCCATGGACTGCCCCCTTAATATAGTGGGAGGGGCTCGGAGTAGAGCCGCTGCTTCTCCATGTTGAGAGGACTTGGGCGTCTGTCTGGAATGCCTCTGTGGGGATGTGTTCTGGGCACGTCCCCCACCAGGAGGAGACCAGGGGAAGACCCAGGACACAGAGTGTGTCTCTCAGCGGGTCTCCCAGATAAGCTGGAGGAAGTCTGGGCATCTCAGCTTAGACTGCTGCCCCCGCGACCCGGCAACGGATAAAGCAGAAGCAAATGGTTGGATGGATTAAATCACTATAAAAACGTTTACCAGTGTAATTCTTGCTACACAGTTCTTTGATAAGAATGACTTCAACCACAAACTGTGTGGGACAGATCTGTTATGGACACAAGCAGAAGAAGAAGAACATGTAATAACTCGAGCTGTGACTTGCCACGTTCAGCGGTCAGAGGCCAGGATGTTGCAGAAGTAAAGACAAAGAATCTTCATATCTCCTGTGTAGTTTGTGATAGTTGTACTGGTGGAATAGGAAGCTCTACACTGCTGACACATCCTCTTTTCACCACAGAACTTTAGCAGAATCTGCAAATTCTCTCCACAGACTTTCATTGGTTCATTTGTATTTGGACTCATTTTAAAGGTTAGAACAGCCAATTGGATCACAACTGTTTTACTTTACTATCTTTGCTGTTGGCTCATGGACCAGTCTGGTCAACTAAAGTGGCCCTTTAGGCACCAGTGATATACAGGGTTAAGTATACGTTGTCGTTTATAATGATTTATTACACTTCACAGTAGAACGCTCCTTTGATTTGAATGTAATTTCAAATTGTTCTACCAGTTATTATTCCCTTATGACAGACTCTCAAACCAGTAATGACCTCTGCCCTTTAGCAACGCAATGTTTTCTTGTAATTCACGTGTGTCAGATTGCTCCACAAGTAGTTCCGGCCACTTTGTCAAGAGCTTTCAGCGACACGTACACCCGCGTTATTGATTTCCAGAGGCGCCTTCACTACTTCTGTGTCGGCGAGAGACGCTTGGGAATCGAGGTTAATGGGAGTCGTATAATAAGCGGTTCGTCCTGTCGGTACTTATTTACCCAAAAATGACCTGATTTCTACACATTATCGCTGACTTGAACCATTTCCAGGCTACAGTCGAACAGGGAGACACCAGCACAGTTCCAACAAGCGCTATATAAAACAGATATTAATTTCAATGTTATTATTATTATTATCATCAGACACACTGTAGGGGCGTGTCCTTTTCGTCATGTATGTGTGTTTCCAGGTGGGGCTCATCTACATGTTCAACCTGATCGTGGGAACTGGAGCGTTGACGATGCCCAAAGCCTTTGCGATGGCCGGCTGGGCGGTCAGCCTCGCTCTCATCACCTTCTTGGGCTTCATGAGGTCAGAGTCTCTCACTCTCATGTGTCGTGGTCTGTTTGAATATCTTAAAGGACACATACTATGCATTCCACACCACTTCCTCTCACTGTTGGAACATTCTGCTCATTGTGATTCATTTATTTCAAGCATTTATTATAAACAGGAATCAACAACTGACTTCCATCCGACTCTGTTTGTTCTTGTGTAGTTACATGACGACAACGTTTGTGATCGAGGCGATGGCGGCAGCGAACGCTCAGCTCCGATGGAAGAGGAGAGAAGAAGAAGAGGTGAGGTCTTTTCACCCTCTTTCTAAAACGTTTAAACATTTCAACCCTTGTGACAAACTGACGCACTACAGTGAAAACCCTTTTTTGAGCTGAAGTTTGATGTTTTTCCCAACTGGACCAGCCCTGGATTAAGACTCTTTTCGACCCTAATTTAGGGTATTTTTCTACTTTTAATCATTTGTGGCGGGTCAATTTAATCCTAGGGTAGTACAAGATGTTTCTGCCTACCGGACTATCAGGACTATAAGCCGCACCACCTACATTTTAAAAGAATATCAATGTTGTCCACACATAGGCTGCACTTGAATATAAGCTGCAGGTTTTCATGTTGTGATGTCGCAGAGACAACGTGATTTAATGAGGAGGTGTTTCACAGTTTGCTTCCATGACTCATTCACCATCATCTGTTTGGACAATAAACACGTGTCCTATAGCTACTGAAACTGGATGGAGTCAAAATAATAAGTCCATAAACTGTTTTGACCACTTACAATAAAAATACACATATTAGCCGCATTGCTGTAAAAGCCTCAAGGACTAATCGGTAGCAGCTTATCGTCCAGAAATTACGTTTTATAACTACTTTGTTTCATAAATACTTCTTATTGTTTGTCCCCACAGAAAGAGTCTCATGAATGTAAAATGTGGTGAACAGACTGTTATCTTTTGCAAACTTGTAATCCTTGAGAGTCACTTTTGGATGCCTTGGGCTTAGCGGTGATTGGATCTGAAAAAGCAAAGAATCTGACAAAGAATCCATCCATGTGACTGAACTGAATGGTTTTTAGAGCGAGGAATTGTCTGAGGGATTCCAGCACGTGTAAACCAGATCTCGTTAGACCTCTGAAGCTAAGCAGGGCGGGGCCTGGTTGTACTGTGATGGGAGACCTCTGGGAACAGTAGGTGCCACAGTGGGGCGGGGGCAGCTGTAAAGTGCCATAATGTCATTGTGTCCTTAGGCAAGACACTTCCCCCACATTAGAATGAGTCTATTGTGTGTGTGAATGGTTGGTGGTGGTGGGAGGGGCTGAGGGCACAGACTGGTTGCCTCACTTCTGTCAGTGTGCCCCAGGGCAGCTGTGGCTACAGTAGTAGTTTATCACAACCATGTAGGGAGTGAATGAATAATGACAATGCATTATTATTATTACTATTATTAATTAATACTACATTAATTACTACATTATTCTGTAGTGAAGTACCCCAGCTGTAAAATGATATTAATATAGTAAGTTGAATAATTCACGATGGATGGAGGAGGATGTTGTGTTGTCCTCTCGCCGCTGTTTGCTTTAGAAAATCCACTATTGATTCAGTCTAAAACCTTGTCTCTAATATTTGACTTCTTAAGCCTTTGTTTTATCGCCTTGTCGCGTTCAACACAAAAGCCTCCATCTTTCGCTCTCGTGCATTCTCTCTCCTCACTCCATTTTAAAGCCTGTTTTTCCACTTTGGGAGTTATGAGCCCGGGGACAAAAGCTTTAGTCCTGATTCATAGCTGCTCTAAAGTCCGCCGCCTTTTCTATTCTGAATAATGGACGAGCTGGAGTGGAGCGGAAATGCCCACGACTGATGACTTTGGTCGTTGGTTTGAGTGAAGAGTTGCATTGGAAATAAAAAAGGTGGTTCAAGATGATGCATGAAGTGTTTATAGAGAAAATACCAATGCCGTTTGTTAGGTTTGAGAGTAAAAGGGCTTGGCTATTAAGGAGCTGCGTGGAATAAATGGAATATTTGATAAAGTGAGGTATTTCAGGACTCGCGATCAAATGGAAAGCACAACTATCCATCCATCCATGTTACTCCGAGGATCGGCCGCTCGCTAAGTAGTAGTATCCGGCTCGAAGGACCATTTTTTGGTAGATCTCTCCATTGAGACAGACGGATATTTATTGATCCCCCGTACGAGTCGTGAGACCAATAAAGTTTATCTTAAGCCTCATATCTGGAGTCTCAAAGTAAACAAAACCTTATGCTCCCCATGGGGAAAAAGGTTTGGCAGGTTGTGGAGCATTAAAAACATACATACTATGACAATACGACCCAATACAATTTTTAGTTGTATATAATTAAGATGTATTATTATTTATTATTACTAGCTCCAAGCAATCGATAGAAAATCTGTCTGTTCCCACACTTAAACTCAACTCAAACGGATGACATCGGTGACAAATAATGATAGCATGGCACAGTTTAATCCAAAAGAAGACACCTTTGAACTGCTCGGACCATAAATGTACACTTAAAACAGTGACGTTATTGTCTCAACCCAACCCCAAACTGCGTCTGAGTGGTTGGCCCGTAAGATTCAAGATGGACAGAGTAGAAAATAATCAATTATGCAACGAATACCAGGCTGGATACTTAGTCAAAGGAAGTCTTTAATGCATGGGTCGACAAAAGTTTGGACAGCCTCTCCTCCAATTCTCCCCCAACACAATCAATGTCTCCCTGAATAAAACAGGAACCACAGTTTTACAGATTAACCAATACAAACTTGTCATAAGCAGAATTTTTGTGGTCAAACAGATCTGTATTCAGACAAGTCAGCGTCTACTGGTCCCAAGGTCCAGCTGTTGTTGTGTTTTTGGCCTAAGTGGACATTTTACTATTAGTTAATAATAGTCACTATTGTTAACTTTTTAGAATTATACAATTATTTGTTTTGTTTGTTGTGGATGGATGTGTTTTTGCTGCTTCTATTCACCTGCATCTCTGCATCAGGGAAAAATAAAGTATCTATCTATCATTTATCTGTCTACGTACCTACCTACCCACTTACCCACCTACCCATCTCCCTACTAACCTACCTACCCACCCACCTACCCATCTTTCTACCTATCCACCCACCTACCCATCTATCTACCAACCTATCTACCTACCTACCTATTATTCGATTGGCCCATTCTTCCTTACACGACTTCTGCTTTGCTCATAAAGGTTCCCTGTGAATGAAAACACAGACATTATTACTGCTGGTGCTGGAGGCCTCAGTATCTTGTCATTATGCTAAATGTGGGTTTGAATCAATAAAAAACATTTTGTTCATGTCTTTTGCTTTTGTTTGCGTGTCTCTTCACAGACTGACGAAAGCGAATCTACCTCCGATTACTCAGACGACGAAGTTCTAACCAGAGGAAGATCGGAGCCGGAGACCAAACCCATCCTGTCCATCCGTGAGTGACTTTATCCTGATACTAATAAGACAGCGCTAAAACAAGCTGCTACGTCCACTCACCTGGTGTGACGTTATTCAGTGGTGCCTGGTTTCTCGCAGGGGTGATGTGTTCTAAAAATAACACATAAGGAGAATTCTTGAAGCAGCAGCTGTAGGTTTTAAGGCTGTAAAATGTAAAATCCTCACACACACTTTATACACTTTTCTAACCACCTGAACTCACTGCTGAAGTGTGAGAGAGACCAGAGATGAGAGCTGCTGCAGCTGTCAAAAGCTGTGCGTAAACTGTACTGTAGACCAGAGAGCAGAGAGAGAGAGAGAGACCAGAGAGAGAGACCAGAGAGAGAGAGACCAGAGAGAGAGAGACCAGAGAGAGAGAGACCAGAGAGAGAGAGAGACCAGAGAGAGAGAGAGACCAGAGAGAGAGACCAGAGAGAGAGACCAGAGAGAGAGACCAGAGAGAGAGAGAGAAGAGAGAGAGAGAGCAGAGAGAGAGAGACCAGAGAGAGAGAGAGAGAGAGAGACCAGAGAGAGAGAGACCAGAGAGAGAGAGACCAGAGAGAGAGAGACCAGAGAGAGAGAGACCAGAGAGAGAGAACCAGAGAGAGAGAACCAGAATTTTTATTTTTCTGACTCTGAGATCAGCAGGAGTCCAGTCCCTGTGCTCCTCAGAGTCCCCAGCAGGAGGCCAGTCCCTGTGCTCCTCAGAGTCCCAGCAGGAGGCCAGTCCCTGTGCTCCTCATGATGATAATATATGATAATATATAGAATAGGGTTATAATAATAATAATAATACTAACTGTTGAAAGAATGTGGTGTTGTCAGTTTGGAAGCGTCTAAAGTGTCGCTGCTGCTCTTGCTGTTCGCTGAAACCTCAGGACAAAGAGGTTTTATATCTCAAAGGTAATGTTGCAGTATTGACTTGGTCTTAGTCTTATCAAAGTCTTGAATCTTGTTTCTTCTGTCGGACAAGCTACAGTCTTCACCATCCGCACTGGTACGTGGAGACACTCTGGATTTCACTTCCAAACGCATGAGACTGAAGTGACTTTTGGATTCTACTGATCTACTTTAAATGTCTTCATAGAATCTTTTTTATTTTATTGTTCATTATTTGACAGTGGCTTACACGTCCTCACATCAAGGAGGTCCTGGGTTTGATTCCATGATTTCATTTCACCAGGGGATATTCATTTGATCAGTATAGGGCATTTCAAAGACACGGAAACACACACACACAGAAACACACACACACACGCACACAGGGAATGAAAAAGAAGTGAGTGAGACTGGGTGGAGAGAGACCATAGAGAGAGAGAGAGAGAGAGAGAGAGAGAGAGAGAGGCACTCACACGGTGCTGGTTACGTTTGTGGTTGCGCTGGACCTACGTGACCACAGTTGGTGGTACACTTGCGCGTTCCCCGTGCGGAGTTTTGAAGAGAATGTCCCACAACCAACCACATGATGGCGATCTCACAGGAGCGGCTCCATTTACGCTGCTACTTTCTCCTCTTCAGAACAAAAACAACAGTGAAGCTGTTTGAGATTATTACATGTGTTTCTACTGTAGGTTTATGTGACCGTTCTAAACTCATAGTTTCAACTCATTTAACTGTGATGCTGTGAATAAAAACACAGTTCTTGTTGGAAACATAGTTATTATTAAAGTGTTTTCAGCACAAACAGCAAAACAATAAGTGGTAAATATCTGAGACAAATATGAACGATTTACAGGTGCAGGAGGAACGGAACAGACGCAGCTACGATTCAAACAAGACACGAACAGTTTATAAGTTATATATATGTCATATATAAGTTAGATATATGTTAGATATGCAACAGAACTCTAGTCCACAGTCTATATCAGGCTCTGAGCCCAAACTACTTTTCCTTCGGTTCCTTCGACGCGTGAAGCTCTCTGCTCCAAACTGCCTCGTCCATGTTCCTGCAGCTGCTCCAGGCTTCACAGAAAGTAATCACACACGGACCAATCACAGCGGAGCTTCTCTCACACACGGACCAATCACAGCGGAGCTTCTCTCACACACGGACCAATTACAGCGGAGCTTCTCTGCGGCGACCCTTACGTAGAGGATGCGCGGCAGGCGACGTTAGGGCCTTGCAGTGATCCATGCTTTGCGCACGTGACGTCTCGTCACCACCGTAAGCTCAGCGCGACTATACACTAGGCTAAAGACCAGCCCGACAGGGCGTGCCCAGACACTGATAAATCCGTGCTGCTGTACTCAGTGAAATGACTGGGGTCCTATGGAGGAGGTGGGTGACTTCTGACGGCACGAGCCCAGACACTGATTAAGCACATTGTAGCTTCTGTGGGAAAGCAACAGGCCCTGACCCTGTTCAGGCTCAGCCCTAATCATTAAATATATAGAAATTAGGAAACAGGAAATAGTTTGCTGTGCTGTGGTTCAAACTCTTCCTTTTCTTTCATTTCTCTCCCTGAGCTCTGACCCTCACCCTGGGTCTCCCCCCTCTCTGCTCTGAGCCTCACCCTGGGTCTCCCCCTCTCTGCTTTGCCCCCAGAGCGCTCCGGAGGTCATACGGATCACTTCGACATCGTGGAGCGGGTGGAGATGGGGCAGATGGCTTCCATGTTCTTCAACAAAGGTAATCAGCAGAATCAGAGCTCTCCTTTAATGCCTTATCTCCATGGCGACGCAGGCGGCCGCTAATTGAATGTAATCATGTTTGGATGAATGGGCTGTGGGTGTAATCACCAGCGTGGGACTCGATGTCTCTGTCGTTTTCTCCTTGAACGTGGCGTGCTCGCTCTGACCGATTTGAACAGTGGCACAAAGTAACGACTCATCCAGGGGTCTGCAGTTAAAGCTGGGGTACCTAACTTTAACTTTTCTCATCAGTATTAGCTTTACGTTGTCCCATCAGAAAGAGCCCTGTAAAAGTTTGGGAAGAAGATCAAGCTACAACGTGCTTTCCTCCTATTTGTGGTCATATCTGCAGGTGAAAGCCAGATCCTGTCAGGTCTCTGAAGCTAAGCAGGGCAGGGTCTGGTTAGCACTGTGATGGGAGACCTCTGGGAACACCAGGTGCCACAGTGGGGCGGCTGCGGCTGTAAAGTGTGGTTGTGTTCTTAGGCAAGACATTAAAAAAAGTGTCTGGTTGGTGGTGGTGGTGGGAGGGGCTGATGGCACAGACAGGTTGCCTCGCTTCTGTTAAAGTGCCCCAGGGCAGATGTGCCCACAGTAGGAGTTTATCACCACTGAGCATGGAGTGAATGAATAATGATTTGCAGCGTCTTTGAGAGTCTTTTAAACTTTTTTAAAAAATAAACTTTTTTCATACTTAGTGCTGGACTCCGGCGGGCGTGTCTCCGTACGCTGCCCGTCAGACGTCCGTAAAACGGAATAGTGGCCACAGCGGCTTCAGCAGCTCTGGCTGTGCGTTTATCAGTCCCGTGAGGCTTTGTTTTAAACAGAAGAAGCGGTGATTTGCATGAGCTGTGGCTTTGATCTATGCAAAGCTCCGCACTATTGAAGCATCGAGGACGTGGAAAAAGGGGAGAGAGAAAAGAACATATCCAGGCTTTTTTGAAAGCGAGTCAATATTAACATTACACAACAAATAAATGGTAGATTTAAGATCAGGAAACAATGATTTCAGTTTAATACATGAAAAAAAATGACACACATTTGTTAATAATCATTGTCATTAACAAACACTTATAAACAGGACCACAGCATATATCAATACATGTTTAATAATGCGGTAAATATATTATTCCATTGTATTTTCAATGGAAAATGGACCCGACACGCGTCGACGGAACAAATAGGATTGTTTCTATTTCGTCCGTCCGCGTCCGTTGCAGCCTCTGTGGACCGACTGCTCCCGACACCCGTCAGACGGACGTACGTCGCGGGCAGTGGAGCCACAGTGGAGATGAAACGAACACATTTGGACGGATACGTAGTATGTTTTACGCAGCCAGTGGAGTCGGGGCCTTAGTTGTAAAGATCCCTGTGAGTCACTGTTTGATACTTTGGGCTGAGAGCTGATTGGCTGAGGTGAGGGTGGTCCTTTCTTCTTCATTTTTTTCATCTTTCTCTCTGAAAAAGTTGAATATCTGAGAAAAGCCAAAAGATACATAGATGTGAACACTGTGATTGAACCAAACTGTTTATCTTCGTAGACGTCTACAGTACTTTGCGTGGACTGACACTTTTCTTTTTGTACCTCTCTCCCTGGGCTCTCCCTGGTCTTTCCCTGGTCTCTCTCTGGTCTCTCTCTGGTCTCTCTCTGGTCTCTCTCTGGTCTCTCTCTGGCCCCTCTCTGGTGCCTCTCTGGTCTCTCTCAGGTCTCTCTCTGGTCTCTCCCTGGTCTTTCCCTGGTCTCTCTCTGGTCTCTCCCTGGTCTTTCCCCGGTCTTTCCCTGGTCTCTCTCTGGTCTCTCTCTGGTCTCTCTCTGGTCTCTCTCTGGTCTCTCTCTGGTCTCTCTCTCTGGTCTCTCTCTGGTCTCTCTCTGGTCTCTCTCTGGTCTCTCTCTGGTCTCTCTCTGGTCTCTCTCTGGTCTCTCTCTGGTCTCTCTCTGGTCTCTCTCTGGTCTCTCTCTGGTCTCTCTCTGGTCTCTCTCTGGTCTCTCTCTGGCCCCTCTCTGGTGCCTCTCTGGTCTCTCTCTGGTCTCTCTCTGGTCTCTCTCTGGTCTCTCTCTGGCCCCTCTCTGGTCTCTCTCTAGTCTCTCCCTGGTCTTTCCCTGGTTTCTCTCTGACCCCTTTTTGACATTGGGGAAATGTCAGTGTTGCATCACCAGTTACAGAGCAGTAGAATGAGGAGCACAAGATAAATGTGCTCTTTACTCTTTACTAAAACAATATAACACCTCTGACTTTAGCAAAATAAACAAGTCTAAATGAGTATCTGAGTCCCAAAACCCCTTCTCATTATGTTAAACTTTATATGAGATTCAATTAACGACAGATCAATCACTAAATTAACCAAACTATTTGAATAATCGGTTCCTCTTTCCGTGATCAATGACACTGCTTGCCCTTGATCCACGCCCGCACTTCCGCTTGTGGCCACTAGATGGAGCACTCGCAATACGTTCTCCCCGCAGGCTCATCCATACTGTACAGCTTCATTAACCTAAAGCAAACCGACAGCAAAGTGGTAAAAATAAATAAATTATTAAATCAAAACGTGAGAGAAAAGACAGATAAGAACACTTTTTTTTTATTTCTTGAGGGAATTTTGAAAGTGAAGCCATCATTCACATGCCCTCCACCTGTCCTCTCTCACGTGCACACAGGTGGGCCACGTGCGCACCAATCAATCCCATATAAGGGAGCTACCCCCCCCCCCCCCCCCCCCCCCCCCCCCTGTCCTGTGGGGCTGCTCCAATCACAAATGAATGAGATCGGCACACGCTCGGCTCCTCTATCTGCCCTCGGCCACCGGTGCATGACTGAATATTACATCACCAATGCACCATTCCAGACCGGACCAGGCCTGAGGAGTCCTGGAGGCGGCTAATTGTGTCGGTGAATTAATGAGATGATAATAATTAGCGGTAGTTTTCAGGCAGAAAATAAAAACAGCTGAAGCCTATTATCTCATTTGGCATTTTTTTGATTTCTTTGGCCTTAAACAAATGGGAAAGAAAAGGTGAAAAGCTACTGGTTTTTCAGTCAAGAGAGCAGAGAGAGAGCAGAGAGAGAGCAGAGAGAGAGAGCAGAGAGAGAGAGCAGAGAGAGAGAGCAGAGAGAGAGAGCAGAGAGAGAGAGCAGAGAGAGAGAGCAGAGAGAGAGCAGAGAGAGAGAGCAGAGAGAGAGCAGAGAGAGAGAGCAGAGAGAGAGCAGAGAGAGAGAGCAGAGAGAGAGAGAGCAGAGAGAGAGAGCAGAGAGAGAGAGCAGAGAGAGAGCAGAGAGAGAGAGCAGAGAGAGAGAGCAGAGAGAGAGAGCAGAGAGAGAGACCAGAGAGAGAGACCAGAGAGAGAGACCAGAGAGAGAGACCAGAGAGAGAGACCAGAGAGAGACCGCAGAGAGAGACCGCAGAGAGAGACCAGACAGAGAGACCAGAGACAGAGATCAGCGAGGCGGGTTTAGAGAGAGAGAGACTAGAGTGAGAGAGCAGATAGAGACTAGAGAGAGAGAGCAGATAGAGACCAGAGAGAGAGAGCAGATAGAGACCAGAGAGAGAGAGCAGATAGAAAGACACCAGAGAGAGAGACCAGAGACAGACCAGAGAGAGAGAGACCAGAGAGAGACCAGAGAGAGACCAGAGAGAGACCAGAGAGAGAGACCAGAGAGAGAGACCAGAGAGAGAGACCAGAGAGAGAGACCAGAGAGAGAGAGACCAAGAGAGAGACCAGAGAGAGAGACCAGAGAGAGAGACCAGAGAGAGAGACCAGAGAGAGAGACCAGAGAGAGAGACCAGAGAGAGAGACCAGAGAGAGAGACCAGAGAGAGAGACCAGAGAGAGAGACCAGAGAGAGAGACCAGAGAGAGAGACCAGAGAGAGAGACCAGAGAGAGAGACCAGAGAGAGCGACCAGAGAGAGCGACCAGAGAGAGCGACCAGAGAGAGCGACCAGAGAGAGAGACCAGAGAGACAGACCAGAGAGAGACCAGAGACAGACATGTATATACTAGTTTCGGGCTGTAAACACAGGCTTCATTCATGCAGTTGTTAATATTCCAGATGTATCGACTTGAAACTACATTTCCCTGCAGCGGCCATCTTTAATTTCTCTTGTGTCCTTTGGACGATGTCTCTCTTTTCCTGAGAGTTCCCTCCGGATGTTAGCCCCGGGCTTTTCCTGATGAGATGGAAAGGATTTTTGGCTCAATAGGAGTGTTGGACTGCTTTTTAAAATCAGTGTTTTGTCTCCAGGTGATTCCTGGATGTTTGTGAAAATAAATTTCAATTCAATACGTCTCAGAACATACTCTAAGTCACAGATTTATAAAGTAAATTAAAGGAGCAGTGTGTAAACATGTGGCCAAAAGTGGTACTGCAGCCTCTCCCACTCTCCCTGACTCAGGTTGCCAGATATGCAGACGAATCCAGCTGGGACCATAACAGCTGAATAGACAAGAGTTTTGTCAACAACAAATCTATAACCAACACCTTTTTCACAAAGATAGAAATCCTGGATTTATTCCTTGTTTTGTCGTTAATGATTTGAGAATCATAACGAGACAACAAGAATTATTTCATCTCGATTACATTTAATTGTTATTAAGAGGAATAGATCCTTTAGGTGAGTTTTTAACACACCTGGTTCACAGTCCGGCACAGACTAGTTGGTAAAGTGACAGTAACACATTCTGTGTGTGTTGTTATTAATGCATTTCCTTTAAAGCTGCACTTACCAAATCAAAGTGTATTCAAAGTATTACCTACCCTATCTTTAGGACGATGGTACAGGACCATGTGAGTCCCAGCCCTGGTTTCGTCCTTCTCCCTGCTAAATGCTTCTCAACATAACTCATGGATTGTGACGCCTCTAGTCCTGACCTTGATCTTAATCTAATAAACGATTCCACAAACAATAGGAAGTGTCCAGCGTTGGATTTATAAGTTTGATCTCGTCGATGGTCCCAAACGCCTGGTTCCTCTTCCTGGTGTTATTAAAGATAATTGCGTTCAG